GGGGGGGGGGAGTCAGGTAGGAGAGCTTAACCAGGGGCAAATCCAGCAGGGCTTACGAGGCCAGACAAAAGCTTCAGGAAATCTGAAACCTGCCAACTGACTCCTTCACCTGGCCTTTCCGGCCCAAAGCCCCGATGCCGAGCCTGACATCCGCCTGGGCCAGGGCTAACAAGGATCTGCCCCCCCCCCCCCACAACGCGCACACCCCCACCCCCCATGCCCGAAACCTCGATTTCAGGATGTACGCTCCGTGCCAGCTGAATGAAAAAGTTACCGGCTGCTCCGTCTCCACCAGGAGTCGGCGGCAGCATGAGCCGACGCCCCGGCCCAGCGGCTGGCCTCGTTTGATCCCGCGATCGGCGCAGACAATTCCCTGCGTGATAAACCTCACGCTTATTTACCGCCATGATCGCAGGAGGCTTTGGCAGGCTCCCGGGATCATGAGGCGCGAATCCCATCGTCCCTGGATGTACGGAAGAGATCCTTACGGCAGAATGGGCGGAGAGGACAGACAGAACATCATGTCATACTCATCAAGGTAGAGCTTCACAGACAATACATGCCGAAGCCCCTGCAGCAATCACACACACATCTGTTATGGAGTTCATTTCCACAACATGCTGTGCACTGCCTGTCTCACTAATTTCAGTTCAGGGAAGGGTGGGTGTGACAAATACTCTTCAACAGGTTACCCCTGGTTACCTGTAACGCAAATAAAAAAAAAAGACAGCAGCCCCCACCCCCATGCGCCCACTCAACCCCCCTGGGAAGCCAAAGCTGGAGGAGGCACACAGAGAGTGGCAATCAACTGCGGAGCTGTCAATCACGCAATCAGCCCACGACTGTCAATCACCATTAACAGGGGGGGGGGGGTGAATATGTATATGGTTATTAGTAAGCAGGGGGGTCAGTGAAAACACAACACTAGGAAGATGGCTGTGAGGGTTACCCCCACAGGACAGTGTGTCTGTCATAGGGGCCGCTCACACACACACACACACACACACACACACACACACACACACACACACTGATTAGACAGCAAGACAGCAGCCCATCGCCTGCCCACACTAGGTAATCGCTGCTTAATTTCACACATTTTGCCTTTTAGATTCCTCCATGCCGCACGGCACACCGCCATTACCCAGCATGCACTGCCCACAACTTATTTTCAGCTGCTTTCTGTTGAGATCAAAAAAACGAGACCAGCATTTCCGATCCAGGCGTGCGCTTTTGATGTTGCACCATCGCCAAAATGCAACTCTGTGGCATAAAACAGTATTAATCTGCAGATCTGGAGATAAAGCCTAAGGCTCGAGACCTGACATACCCCCCTCTGTCAATCGGGGAAGGCGACCAATGCGGCGCAGTTTCCGGGTGATTAGATGGTCATTAAGTGTGGTGGCATCTGATAGCACAGCGGGAAGTGAAGCTCACCAACACCCTCTCACTCTCAAGCCCCCCACACCCCCCACTGCCCCTTCCTTGTGCACCACGGGCCAGTTCCTTCCTGGTGCAGGAGCAGGTTGGAGGGGGGGTTAGGTAACTGACACCACAGGACTCTCTGTTATCTCACCATTATCCAGGCACTGGGTTCAGATCTGAGCTCCACTGGCCGTGTTCATGAAAGCCTGAAAGCCTAAACTTTCTAAAGAGTCTGAGGATCGATATTACCCCCCCCCCCCGCCGCCCTGCCCCACACCCCCACCTGGGCCCCTGCTGTCACCCCGCACCCGGGGGGCTAAATACCATCTCTCTGTTTAACAGCACGCACAGGATGTCACCCAGCTGCTCTCCGACGTAACAACACGTGAATAGCCTGGGGGGGGGGGTGCGGGGGGGGCACTTTAAGAAAATAAAAGAACATACCTGCTCCAGGGGGCTATAATTTAATTTTCAAATCCTCAGATTGCTTTTAAATGACATTAATCAACACCCCAAACTATTCCCCATATCGCAGTGCACTCAGCCGATCTGCATTTTATGTTCAAAGTTGAGTGAAGATTTGCTCAGAATAATAAGCAGTTTCCTTTGAGAGGTCTGAAATATATACTTATAAAACAACAATTAACTAATAAAAGGAGGGGGCGCCGCGGGAATTACGGATCCTCTCACCAACAAAAGGATTGTCAGGTTTGATTGCTCAATTTATCTTTCCATCCTGCTACCGAGCAGGATTGGCGCCTTCTCAGTCCTGGAAGGAGCCGCATACGCAGCGTGCTGTGATCTCCGCCTTCCGCAGAGGGCCCCGGCAGGGTCGGCCCAGAACGTGGCCGCCCCGGTGATCGCCGGGATGCAGAGAGGGTAGAGTTTGTTTTCTGAGGAGGCATCTGAGAGTCACAGAGCCCTGGGCAGTGCCTCAGGCTACGGCGGGATTTTCATGGCCGGGGGGAAAGGGGTCTCGGGGCCAAGAAGTCTGCAAACTCAAAACCCATGAAAACAGAACCGCACTGAAGCACCATCAGTCCAAGGCCAAAAAACAACAAGATCACAGGGGACTGTAAATAAAGAAAGGACATGATACACAGCTCAGTACGAGTTACACTCACTGTAATATTGTGCTCTGTTACTGTTACTCTTACAATGAGCTCTGTTACTCTTACACAGAGCTGTCACTGTTACTCTTACACAGAGCTGTTACTGTTACTCTTACACAGAGCTGTTACTGTTACTCTTACACAGAGCTCTCTGTTATTGATACTCTTACACAGAGATCCGTGTTACTGTTACTCTTACACAGAGCTGTTACTGTTACTCTACACAGAGCTCTCTGTTACTGTTACTCTTACAAAGCATTCTCTCTTACTCTTACACAGAGATCTATGTTACTGATACTCTTACACGGATGAAAAACATTTTTTAATAAATATATGGCATTTTTGCACCAAACTGAAATCACCCTGTGTTATTCTGTCCTCTGCAAATGGTGCAATGACACAGTTACACAATCCCCCTCCACATACACATTTGACAGCATTTGCATGTGTCAGACAGCAAATTACGAGTTTTCAGGGGCACGTCATGAGGCCGGTGGGGCCAGGGCCCCAAAACCCCCCCGGTGGCAAGCTGGAGACGCTGACATCATGCCTTACGGCGCTGTCCAGCCGTAACGAAGGCAGCAGCTTGGTGGCAAAGCGGAGATCCACTCTGCCACCCCTGACCCCTTCACAGAGTGAAGATCCACTTTGCCCCTCCCCCATTCATGAGCGATCCTCATCAGAGCAGCCTCACGTTTAACCTTGCCGTAAGGACAAAAAGTCTGTCGTGTTGAGGGGCGAGACGACTGTGATAAAGATTTACAGCTTTAACTCACATCATCAGATCGCCCGGATGGCACAGCAAAGCATGCATGCCGGGTGCGTGCATCGCCATTTGGCAGACTGACTGCGAGCCGGTCATCTTCGGGGTGAAGACGTCCTTGGGGTTTGCCGGGGGCAAGGCAATCAGAGATTGTGTGTGTGTGTTTGTGTGTGCGCGTGCATGCGTGTGCGTGTATGTGCTTCGCTGGTGCATCACTGCACAGCCAAATGCCTAGACGGGTAATTATCATTATGGTAATTACAATCACAAGAGAGACTGCTGTTGCGGCTTGTGGTGACACTCCGAGGTCTCTCCCTAGAGAAATTTCTAGAATGTTCCTCATTTTTAGGACGCTAGACAACCTGCTTAGAGCTGAGCAGTGTGGGGGGGGGGGGGGGGGG